ATATTAGGGGTTTCTGTTATTTACTCTGTTTTTCAACAACAGCACACCAACAACTGGCTATGTAAAATATCATATACATATATAGGGGTATATACAAGGGCATATACACAACTATTTGCATCAACTAAAAGCAACCAACTCGAATCGTTAGGCAACAACGCTAGAACACAACCTCACCCCCTTGTTGTTGTCAACAGTGTCATCTGTCATATATTATTTGGCTACTTAGCGCTCAGCTCTAATCATAAAATCATAAAATATTCACGTTGTATATTTACACAAGCCGGTCGTTGTCTCGCGCATAATACACGCTCGCTGATTCATTTGGAATTTGAGGAGACAACTTGGCTTTATCATTTTTAGCAACAAGTCGCGCGACTTAGCGTTTTACGAGTATTTCCTATGTGGTTATAGTACAGATGGCGCTAACAATAATATTGTTTTGTTGGTATATACGGCTCATTCCAGTGCATGCTATACTATATTTCTCATATTACCTATGGCATTTAGGTTAAAATTTACATTTTATGAGACACTCCGGGGGGTTGTGCAAACTTGCGAATGCAAAACAGGAATACATTGGCACGCGACCGATATTTTCGAATTCACCTGACAGCTACTCTATAGTTTGCAGTAGTGTGCTATAATTGAGGTTTCTGCGGCAAATGGTTGGCCGGTAATGACGGAAGAACTATTATCACGCTTTTACCAAAAGGATTCGTATTTATTTTGCTTGAAACTGAAAATTTCAGTATTTAAAATGGTCGCGACAATAATTCTTTTTGATAGTTTCAAATTGTCTGAAAACAACACCGGGTGTACACGTCGTATACGCAACTTTCTAACATTTTTGTCAGAAATTGACCAATTATGACATGAGTAAGAAAATTATGCTTCTTGGATATTGAATTGAGGAATTTTAAAACATAACTTTTAATTTCGAAAAACTAAAAATTAATCATATAGGCTTAATTAAAGTTTTAAGTGATATACCTGCAATAGACTTGTAGAATCATAAGCATAATGTGACATTACCATTTCTATATAGTTTCATTTCTTATTATTGATAATTAGTATATATAAATATCTACATTTCAATTTGAGTATTATATTTAGGGGTTTACTTAAAGCATTCTAGGCTTAACTTGTTATTCATTATTTCACCACCTTATTAACCACATATGACTTTACGATGCCGTAAGAGAATTCTCAGGTTTAGAACCCAGGGTAATGGAAAATAACGGCATATAAAGTGTTAACATAACATTCCACGTGCATATATGACATCGTGTCCGTCCAATGGCTGCGTTATTAAGCACTTTCTAGAAGTGCGCAATAAAGTTGTCAGGTTCATTTCCATTTAGATTATTGGTTTGTCCGTTGCAAAGGCGTCACACAAGTGTAACATCCAAACGAAACCTTGACTATAGCACCGCATGCTTTATACAATATATTTCAGTTTTTTCTCCCCTTTTTCCCCATTAAAGCATTTTATTTCGGGACACATTGTAAAATGTTATTGTTTTTCATATTAGATATAGCATCTACTAGCTATCTCTCAGGTACGTTGAGGAGATTATCAACACAAAGACGAGATGCGAAGTATTGCACATTGTCGCGGCGCACCGTTATGTATAACTTGCTACTTATGTATGTGTATATGTGCGTACGATGGTATGTGTGTGTATTTATTTGGCGTAATTACTCCAACCTGGAACGTTGCGGAACGTACTAGCCTATGTATTTCGGTGGCTTAAAATCTTTGTTTTTATTATTTATACATGTGTACATACATGTACTTGAGTTCTGAGATTTATTTAGTAATAAAATTTAGCATTTGTCTTGTCACTTAAAATACTAGATGGCTGTTACTACCAATTAGAGTCATTTATATATATATATATATATATATATATATATGTGTATATAGATTTATATGATAATGTTTATGTGGCCTTATGACTGTGTTACAGGTAAACAAATACACTCATAGTTACATACATACATAGGTACATGCAATGGCATTTAAATGAGCATATAATATTAAAAGCGAAAATTCTATTGTATTTCACATTCGCTGTCGATGTTTTTAAGCGGCATATTATACCTAGTGTAAAGTTTCGAAAAAACGTTGTACATACATATGTATATTATATATCTTTGATTCACTTATTTCGATAGTCTTTATCTTCTAAAATAACATTCAAAAATTTTAAATAAATATATCAAATATTTTTATAAGTTATTCCTTTCTAAAGTGTAGCCGCTCAGTTCAATACTTTTATTTTTAAACACGTTTTTCTCAATTATATATATTTTTAAAATTGGTTGCAGTTATAACCCGAACACAAATCATCCATTAGATTTGATTTTTTTCGCTTAACATATTTTGATTATGTCTTTCTGTACAACGATCTTCCAGTTTTTTGATTGTATGAAGAATTTTGATTTGGCTCACCAAAATAATTTTTATTTTATTATATAAAAATTATATTATAGGTATTTTTAAACAAAATAAAAAAAAGCTGCTTTAAGCTCGCTTTATTTTGCGCGATAAAATTTGACATATATTTCAAAGTATGCCATTTTGTTAAATTTCAATTTTATTGTATAGGCAACACCTTAAATATTAAAAATCTCTTTAATTGTTTTTTTTTTCAATCATCATTGCACAGTAGTGGAAGACTTTATTTTAGTAACACGCGAAATAGCGAAAGCGCGATAAAAATTAAATGTTTATGTAATTTTTTTTGTATGTTCATTGATTATGCATAAATATATCGATTAATTTTTAAAATATTTCTTTCAGAAGTTTTCTTAAAAAAAATTGCAAAACTCACCAATTTTTAGGCGGTCATACTAGGTGTACGCCTTAATTTAAAAATATTAAAGAAAAAAACTAAAAAAGACAACAAATATAGAAAAAGCTTTGCAAAAATGGTAATTATTAAGAACTTATGTATATTGACATTAGATAGGCGATTAATCATTGTTTTTATGGGCATTGCACATCCACAAAAAAAATACTGGCAGTGGAGAAGGTCACCAGGAATTAGTTGGACACAGACGAAGAGGCAGGAGATATGACAAAACGTTGGACTTGCACGACATACCGCGCGCTATGACCTAAAAAAGTCTATCAATTTGCGAGAAGTTATCAAAATCTTCTTTAGTTTTTTATCCTTCAATAATGTGCTGGGAGTCAAAAGAACAAACAATGCATACGAAGAGCTCGTTAAACCATAATAATGCTACCTCTCCCCGCATGACATTAACCACTAATTCCAAGCACACCATTTTACTAGACCTTGCATTTGGTTGGTGTTGCTGCACTACAGTTTTGAGCACAACCTGCTGACCGTCGATGGTAAATTTTTTCGTTATAAATATACCTATGCAACAGCCAAATGAGTTGACTATGGGGTTACATGTACAAAAAATATATATTAACAAAATTTTAGTTTTTTTCAAAGAACTGGTTTAAAATTCAACGTTATTTACTGCTTTGGACTCAACATGCACACATCGCGCTACTGTTGCGTCGAAATTTCATATGAAGCAATTAAAAAGATAAATAAAGTTTCTAGCGTAAGATATGTAAAGCTAAGTTCATAAACGGCGATTTCTCTGAAGTGTGATATGTGTGAAAACTAGCTGAATATTCCCAGAATAGTTGCCAAGTTAAGTATGAGTTGAAAGTTTGTCAAATTATAAAGTTGATTATGTACGAAAACATTTTGTGTGTTCAAATATTATATAACCTATATATTATATTAGTGTATTAAAAAATTTACTTAAGTTGTGTCCCTAGTAGAACTTTTAAATAAATTGTTTTAAAGGAAGGACTGCAACGAATGTTTTAAATTTATGAAGATATACCATATGTTACTATTGAATACAAAAAATTTCAAAAAAAAAAATTCAAATACTTTTAGTGCATTGTTCGCTACTTTTCAAGTGACTTAAAAAATAATCCTCCACTGTTATGCATTATTGCGGTCACTGTGATTAACAACCAAAAAAAAAAAAAATATTAATGTTTAAGTATTGCCACAAAGTAATAACGATTGTTTTAAAAATTTAAATTTATCAAAATGAGACTTCGAAAAAAAATTTCGCATTTTACTCGAAAAGATTCTATTAGAAAGCAACTCCATATTTTTTGTATAAAAATAATTAAGTGTATTATATATTTTATCTAATAAAAAAATGTTTGGCACGAAGCGATAAGCGAAAGAAATCAAATCGATCGCATGATTTGTCTTCAAGTTACGATGCAGACTATCGAAATATGCAAAAATAAAAATATGGCTTTATCACACTAGGTGTGCCTCTTAAAAAGTAATGTTAAAAGCTTTAAAAAATTATAAACAAAACAAATTTTTTTTACACTTTTATACAATTTCTTTTTTTATTCGTACATAAATGTACACACATACATACTATGTAGATTTTAAAATTAATTTCCAATAAAACTATCTTCCTTAATAATTAGCTTTCAAACACTACACTGCTCGACAAACTGTCGATATGTTATTCGATAATTGTAATAATCGTGATCAACTCTCAGAGCTGCAATTCAAAGCCGTTAAAAATTTTATATCAAAAAATTACCATATGATCAAATTTGACACGGACTGGTCTATTTTCCAAGATTGTACAGCATTTTTTAGGTGCAACGAGCTTGCTTGCCGCAGAAGTGTTTTGGAGAGTCTACTTTATCACGAACACAAGAATAAGTGTGGCACAAAGAATTCAGAAAAGGTCGCGAAGTCATCAAAAACTTGCCTCATGCGAGTCGTCCATCAAAGCCATCACTGGAAAGTCACTGGATGCCATCCCAGTCAAGGCTTATAAGAAGTGTATGAAAAATTGGATTGAGCGTTGGTATGCTTGTATTAGCTCAAATGGAGCCTATTTTAGAAATATTTTTTTTTTGTAGGATCGGGTTTGAGCGATTAAAGTTTATAATACTGATAAAGAGTATAGTATACACATTATTGTTATCTAAACATGACCATTAAAAATCAATTTTATTGAAATTTTTGATTACGCCTGCATGTATTGAATACACTAACATCCAAACACTTCAAATCATATCACATTCATTCACAACAAAGACCATTTAATTCTGTGATAATTAAATTATGTATATATATGCAAGCGTATGTGTACATTAGTTGAATTTCAGTTCATATTTGCTTATGTAACACAAAATCGTTCTTATTTGTTGGTATCATCCTTCTGCCATTAAGTTTTCCAATATTTAAAGCAATAACGTCAGCCAGCCGACAATTAAGCAAAATCCGCCATATGGCGCAAAACGGGCATACTGTTTGTCACCAGTAAAAGCACGGTAATAAAGAGTGCCGCTAAATAATAAAGTTCCGACCAATAATAGACCACCAGTCTTTAATAAAAATAATTCGAAATTAATATATGCATAAATATGCCTACAATTACTTAGATTTCTTACGATAGCAGGATATCTAGCCAACGGTACACTAAGAAGTGCCAATGAGTGAAAGAAATGGAAGCGGTTGGCTGTTTCAAAGATTGTTTTCGTCTCATCCTTCTCGTGTGTTGGATGCAATTTGTGACTTCCAATTGCACCGAGTATAACGGCTGAGGCCCCGCTTAAACCTGCTAAACGCACGAAATAGTGGTTGCGTCCTGCCAATTTCCATAGTGGAGGAATTGCACTTCCCATAACTTTTGCGGCGACTACTTCAGTTGAAGCTTTTACGGAAGGCGCACTAGTGGTCGAAGTCTAGATGAAATATAAAAAATAAGAGTTTTATACAACTTTAAGGAAAAGAAAAATTATCCACATACCGTTCCGCGGGAAAATAATGATGTCGTGCTGGAAATCACAGCTTTACTCACGGGATTACCAATGGTAATGTAATGCAAAGTGTCAGTGATTGCCATTTTTACTAATTCGATATTTTTGCAATCTTATTTATTTCTCTTTTACAGTTTATTATATATGTACGATATCTTCAGTTGCATTCATACAATTGCGATTTTTGCATATATAACGATATTATACTGCTGAAATATTTATTTTTTGGCAATTTACACAAAATTTTTATTAATACAACACAAAATAAAGATACCGGTTTTTCGATTATTTTCTTTTGTCATATGTGTGACAGTTTATCACAGGGATGCCGATATAACAAAACATACTTTACTTTGTATTAGGGTGATAAAACCAGAGAACGTATATCATATATCATATACGTTCTCTGATAAAACTTGTAATGTGTTTTGATTCATTTCTTTATAAGTATGTACTTGTATTATTTTCGCAAACAAAAAAAATTCTTGTATAAGGCACTACATAATGGCTAATGACTATATAAAGTGTTATATTTCGAATCTGTGAATAAAAATGAAACTGTTAATTGACAGTCATGAATTTTTTTGATTATGTAATTATCACAACTTAAATTTAGAAAGTACTTTCGGAACAAACCCTGCTGAGGGTCGCTCAAACGAGCGATTAATTTCAATTCGCCGTTTATATCAAAATGGTTCCTGCAAAAGCGAAATCCGTTGACTCGTTCATTCGGTTTTTTCCCTTCACCGATATTACTTGATTTAACTACAGGTAAGTGTTATAATTTTTTGTTGCACATTAATTTTAGTTTTCACTAAAACATATAAAGTGTTGAGAAAAGTTGCATCAATTAACTAATTGAATTCTAAATGAGCCCAATAGTTGTTTATTATATTCGTAAAACTAAAACGAAAGTTTGTCTTATGGGAGCCCACGTGGCTTCTTCAAGTAATGTTAATTTATAAAATATTAGTGTACTGTGATGAGACAATTTATCTTCCTTTTGCGGTTTCCTCCAGAAAGTTATTAAGCATCAGCTTTATAACTTAAAGATGGCTTAAAGGTGTCTGATTTGAAAAAGAGTAGCATCACTCGCAAAACATAACCTCAAATATGTGACTAATAAAATATGTGTATTTGTTTTACAGAATGGCGGACGCAGCTCCAGCCCGTGGTGGTTTCCGTGGAGGATTTGGTTCTCGTGGTGGCCGTGGAGGTCGTGGACGTGGTCGCGGTCGTGGCCGTGGACGTGGTCGTGGAGGCAAGGAGGACTCCAAGGAATGGGTTCCAGTCACCAAATTGGGTCGCTTAGTGCGAGATGGAAAAATCCATTCATTGGAGGAAATCTACCTTTACTCTTTGCCCATTAAAGAGTTCGAAATCATTGATTTCTTTGTGGGCACAGCTCTTCGTGATGAGGTATTGAAAATCATGCCTGTCCAGAAACAAACCCGTGCCGGTCAACGTACCCGTTTTAAGGCTTTTGTTGCTATCGGTGACAACAACGGACACATTGGTCTTGGTGTCAAGTGCAGCAAGGAAGTAGCTACCGCTATTCGTGGTGCTATCATCTTGGCCAAATTATCGGTTGTACCCGTTCGTCGTGGTTATTGGGGTAACAAGATCGGTAAGCCCCATACCGTGCCATGCAAGGTTACTGGCAAGTGTGGCTCCGTATCAGTGCGTTTGATCCCAGCTCCTCGTGGTACTGGTATTGTGTCGGCTCCAGTTCCTAAGAAACTTTTGACTATGGCTGGTATTGAGGATTGTTACACTTCAGCACGTGGTTCAACCGGTACCTTGGGTAACTTTGCCAAGGCCACCTACGCTGCCATCGCCAAGACATACGCATACTTGACTCCTGATTTGTGGAAAGAAATGCCTTTGGGTGCTACCCCATACCAGGAATTCGCCGACTTCTTGGCTGAGAAGCCAGGAAGTGCTCCTCGTCACCAAGTCGAAGCTTAAATGCTAATAAAAGTTCTAATTAAGAACCAATAAAAAAAAAGTCAAAATATCTTTTTTTTATTTAATCAATATTTGGTAATATATTTTACCAAATATTAGGGAATACGATTACTGGAAAGTTGCTACTTTTAATTTTTAGTAAATATAAAAACTAATCGATAACTACAAATGGTAGGTGTAAGCAACGTAGACTAGTTTTAGAAGAGGCTGCTTAGGTAAAAATCGTTTTTCTGTAGGTTAGACTAATAGGACCTCTACGATAGTGATTTTCAGTCGCATATATTTTGAAAGTTTTTTAATATATTCAATTATGCAATCTCTTAGGCAACGGGGTATTTTAAAGGAACTAGGTTGTTTTAGCGGTAAAAACATTAGAAATGTAACTGATGACCGTTTGTATAATGCAAGTGCGTATGTGAGGAGATTAAATATATGAACTATATCTTTTTCCACCAAGTCGGGCCTACATTACTGTGTTGTATAGAAAACAGATCCAATATCCAGAGCTGATAGCCTTTGACTGGACAAAAATCCGAAAGCGCCCGACTGTCGAAACAGTCTACGTAACCCAATTCATGATGTGAAGCCGCCAGCTCGGCAATAGATTTCTATCGAACACACCTCTTTTTTCACACTTCGTGTTGATATTTCCCAAAACAATTATGATGCCCTACTATTGCATAAGGACTACTTTATATAGATTTTCCAATCTTATTCTTAATATTGAAAACACAACAAAATTTGGATTTTAAATTTATTTTATTTAAATAAAACTTTTGAAATTCAATCTCTGAAAATGAAGGAAAAAGAATTTATTAGCGTTTAATATATAAATGTTTAAAACATATGTAATTTTTTGTTTAATCAGACAATCCTAGCCATCATAAGCGAACTTCTGGTGGAAACCGCAAAAGGAAAAGCCATGTGGTTTCATCATATAAGAACTAATATAAAAATGTTATGATATAACACACACCTTAAGTTCATCATTTCAGACAGCGGCATTCTAACTATGAAGACACCTGAAAAGTAAAAAATATAGGTAAGTATTTGTCTAACATTAAATAAAAAGGAATAATAAAAGACTAAGTATCAGACGTCCTGACCGTCATTAGTAACATAAACTTCCGGTGGAAACCGCAAAAGGAAGTGCCATGTTTTATCATCATTTAAATTTACAATTAATGCAATTGATCTCAATAATTACCTTTCAAAACCAGAGGACGCCATTTTGAATTTTCGATGCTCACGTGTAAATGCACTGAAATTAAGAACAAATCTTATATAAGCATTTCTCAGTTAATGTAGAAAGTAAATAATGTATAAAACAATCAGTCCTGTTGAGCTTGAGTTGTTATAATCGTCAAAAAATATTCCGAAGCAGAGTTTCATCACAAAGGAGCTATGTACAAAACTTAAATACAAAAGTACTAACCTTTTTTTACTGCATTTTCTCGGTGTTGCAAGACTATGTTAAATCAATTGCCATTTTCATGAGCACCTAAAAATAAAACATATTTAGAAATATTTGCTTTTATGCATCTTAACAAAATTTAATTTAATTTTTAAATCAGTAAATAAGCAAGTCTATCATAATTCAAATAAGAACAGGTCTGTGTTTTCATCAGAAAATGAGGACTTTTATTTACAAAGTGTAATTTACGTACCATTTTATGTGAGCATTGCATCGAGGATTCGTCGAAATCCGCATTCATTCATTCCAAATTTTTTTTTTAAAAATTTTTTGTCAGGAAACTTTCATAATGCGTTCTTCAATTGTTGGCTTTATCTTCATTTTCTATAAAAGAAAAATACTATAATTAATATTATACATAAGAAACTTCTAGTGAATACAAGGAGTTGATAGTTTTTCAGCATTGCCGATTAATCTTTGTCTTGTATTTTGCGTTGCAAACTTCAATGAAAAATACAAAGAAGAATGCGTTAAAATAGAAAACTCAGTCTCGTCATCTGGTATCATCAACAAAGATTTTTTGTTTTCCCATTTTAAGAAATTGTGTACAAAATTTAATTACCATTGTCAATTTAAAGCGATTCTAGGCAACAAGAACTTAACCATGTGCACTCGATGAAATTCAATGCGGAAAAGACCGATCCTAATATCCAATTCGTAGACCATGCCTCGGTCGAGAAGAACGAGTGAAAAACATCGAGTAAGAAAGCAACTAACTTACTTTCGTATCTTTCTTAACGAGTTGTAGCCTTGCCGTTCTAGGAGAAAAATATTTAGAAAGTAAAATTTATTAATTATACTGTCTCCATTATATACATTTTTTATAATAAATACCATTCTTCCTTTTAAAGCTTGACAGTTATGTTAAAATAATAAATGAATATACAAATTGTTGTTTTCCAACTAAATAATACCAATTTTAAGAATATAAATAAATATTTAACAGCACTGGAAAATTGATATAACACATCTGTGTTTTTCCCCAGACAACAGCTGATTAAATAAACAAATACAAATTTTTTGCCGTATTTCATTCGTTTTTTCAATAAATTATTTTGGCACGGCATTACAATATATTTTATTTACTTTTCGAACAAATATAAATCAATATATGGACGGTGCAGTTTTAAATAAAATGTTGTTGCTTTAGTATTGGCATAATAAAACAAATTTGCTTGTTGAACGTTGCCTTTTGTGCTCTGATGAGATGCATCAATCATCAAGTAAACCTGAGTCTCGCTTGGCTGCAATCACTTTCTTTGCGAAAACACATCCTGGTGATGTATGTGGTAGCAACGGATTACCTCTGACGCCAAACTCGATTGCAATATTAGGACGCGCGCAAAGGCTCAAGGATTTGAAACACCCTCATTTGTGTCAATATTTAGATTTTGTGCGTGGTAAACATGGTACGTATGCAAATTACGCCCCCTTGTTTTCATAATCATACCAGAAAATACAAGTTTATTTCTTTAACACCCAGAGCGTACAATCGTTGTATCTGAATACTTTGGCACCACTTTGCAGGATAAATCACGAGTTGCTTTACTTGAACCTTTGATTGCACGGATATTTTACCAAATTGTCTGCGCACTTAAAGAGTTGGCAGAGCAAAATTTAGTTGTGCATAATTTGGAACCAAAACATATACTCTTGGACGACTGTAACAACGTTAAAATTTTTAACTACGGCTTATATCATATGACGAAGTGTGGAGACTATGTACCCTTTCCAATCGGGTAAGCAGTAGAACAATAAATGCATTTCGATATTATCTTTTAAACAATTTTATAATTCGACAGAAATGTTCGTTACATGCCACCGGAACGATTTCTTGGTGCGAAAAATAACATAAAAAGCGATATTTGGTCACTGGGAATGATTGTGGCTGAACTTTTACTTCAGACAACCTTTTGGCCTAACATGAAAATCTCGAATATAACGCGTAAAATACTTTCATTTATGCAAGTAGAGAATGTTTTTGAAAAAATTGCACGGGAACACAACTGTCTGGAACGATATGCGCAAATTAATAGAGAATTACGTGCATTCGTTGAAGAATGCTTAAATGTTGCAGCATCAAAACGCCCACTGCCAACGGAACTATTGTCACATCCATATTTTTCAAAAGATGTCAATACATACGCATATACTGAACCACCAAAATCCAACGTTTTACTATTACGTTGCCCACTTGAACAAATTTATTACTGGTGGCAACTAGCTGGCGGCGATGTTCAGAGTGAATTGAAAAAAGAAGGCCTTATTCGCAGCGAAGCACCAATATTAGCCATACCGCAAATAGTATGCTTAAATGGGGCGATTGTCGGACCAAAACGCAGTCAAAGCTATCTCATGGATGATCGCGTGGTGCCACTAAAATTGAATAATCTCTTTGAAAAGCTATGCAATCTACCAGCCATGGCATATTTTCCCCTAATACATTCACCGAAATTTCCACACAATTTCGGCGCTAGTATGGCGCAATTGCCGCTGGTTATACGTGAAAAAGATATCGAATATCAATTTTACCGTGTGCGACTTTTTTCGAGATTACTAAAGGTATTCTGTCTACATATGTGTATGCAGTGATTGTAGCTACAATTTCAATTTATCGATTTTAGGGTTATCCTTATACGAGTGACATGATACGCAAGGAGGCTGCCAAAGATATACCACCATATTTACGTGGCCCCATTTGGGCTTGCCTGCTCGATGTAATACCGATTGGCAGTTATGAGAAGATCGACAAGTTTACGCCCACTTCTACCGATCGTCAAGTGAGTACTTCGAAAGGTTCATTATTGTACGTTCTAATTTAATTACTTATAAATAGATCGAAGTAGACATACCTCGCTGTCATCAATACGATGAGTTACTATCGTCGCCGGTGGGTCACTGTAAGCTGAAACGACTTTTAAAAGCTTGGGTGACTGCTCATCCACAATATGTGTATTGGCAAGGTTTAGATTCACTGACTGCACCATTTCTGTATCTCAACTTTAATAATGAAGGTGACTACTAGGGCATATTTCATGTAGTGCAATATTCAAAAAGTTATTTTGCTAATCCTCTCTAGAGTTGGCGTTCCTCAGTCTATACAAATTTATACCGAAATATCTTCAGTGGTTTTTCCTGCGAGACAATTCGGCGATTATTAAAGAATATTTGAGCAAATTTTCACAACTCACAGCATTCCATGAACCAATTTTGGCTAAGCATTTATCAAGCATCAATTTTATACCGGAGCTATTCGCTATACCTTGGTTCCTCACTATGTTTTCACGTAAGTTTTTTTTTTATTTTTTTATTATATTTTTTTTGGTTTTTTTTTATTATGGTTTTTTGTTTTTTTTATTTTTTTTATTTTATTATTTTTTTTTTATTATTTATTAATTTTTTTTGTTTTTTATTTATTTTTTTTTATTTTTTATTTTTTTATTATTTTTGTTTTGTTTTTTTCTACTGTTTCATTGCTTTTATTTTTACTACTTCTCATCGTTGCAGACGTTTTCCCGCTCCACAAGATTATGCATCTTTGGGACAAACTCATGCTGGGCGACAGCTCATATCCGCTATTCATCGGCATCTCTATATTAAAACAGCTAAAGAGCACGCTGCTCAGCTCTGGCTTTAACGAATGCATTTTACTCTTTTCCGATTTACCCGATATCGTTATGGAGAATTGTGTCTTAGAATCACAAAAGATGTACGAATGCACACCGAAAAGTGTTTCACATCGTCTGCATGTGCTACGCGAGGAACCTCTAACTGAATTTGTAAGACGCGCACAAAAACAAAAGAAATATATATTTATTGATTATTGTTGTTTCTGCTTTTACAGGATATTACAATTGACGTTACGCTGGCGCACTTGCAAGCTGAGATGTGTCCACGTATCAGCGCCAAAGATTTCACGAATCTCCTGCATCACGCGCCAACCGACATGTGTGCGCTGGATTTGCGCAGCGCTGTGGAATATTCACATGTGCGCGTGCCACATAGCCTTAATGTGCCATTTGTCGCTGCACAAATGTCAGAACCGCGACTAGATGTGCTAGCTGTGCCGCAATTGGACGAACTAATACAGGGTCGTATTGTCATATGCATTAGCAATACACACGAACACGCCGTGCGGGTATGCTTTTTAAATTTTTCCACTAATGTTTTATAAAAAAAACAGTACTATAGCTTAGTTTTCTTGCAGTTCTCGAAATTTTTGGTGGAGTGCGGTGTGATGCGCGTCTGCATCTTGCATAAAGGCTTCAATATTTTGCACACCATTGAACCAAACATACTGATTTCCAATTAACCAATGTGTCGCCGAGTTGTGGGTTTAGCTAATGTCAGCACCCGTTATACCAACAATTGCATAAAAACCGTTTTTTTCTATGCATTTTATGAAATTGCTTTTGGTATGTGTATCAGACTCCCCCAAAGGCTTGATATGTACGGAAATTGGTTTTCGTTTACTGTTTCCTCCTAACGTCATATACTCGTTTGTGGCATGGCAAGCGTGGCAACACCTCATTTGACAATTATGCATTAATGTCATCACTTTCTTGCTCCCGCCAAGCAATTTATGTCTACGCTTAGTTAACAAGAAAAAAGTTTTGTTTTATTGTGGTTATTACTTTTTATTCCTTTATAATATTGTTTAAATATCTTTTGCTAAACGTATACTAAATATATAAATAATTACATTTATATTAACTAAATAAAAAAATAAAAAAAGTTCATTACATCTTACACCTTATATAATATGCGATTACATAACTGCTTTAAACATATAATTATCAAAAATGAAACATTCATTTTATATACTCTATTTGTATATATATATATGTATAATAGCTAAAAGGACATATAAATTTGTATATACAATTTTTGTTTTTTTTTTGTAGCAGAAAAAGCATTTTCTATCGTTCAGTACTTTTGCTTGCAACATAGTGCGCTTTTACTATAAAATAGTAACTACTATTCAAATACAATAAACCAACGAAGTATATACATACATACGTACATAAACGCTGGAAGGTGGTCTATCAAATGCATTTTTCTCAAAGTTTTCTTCGCTATTCTACATTTGTTGTAAACAAGCGATATGCTACATACAAGCACAGCTGAACAGTTGCAGCCTAATAGCGCTTACAAGCTGGTGCTCTGCTTGGTTGGGTTGCGGTTAATATAAGTTTAGGGATGCTTCAGTCATTTTGGCATTTGTATTCGCTGAGTTGAATTTGTAGACCGAGTCGAGCACTAATTTTCGAATTTTTGGTCTATAGTTTTTGAATATGTTTGCAGTCGAGTGCTGTTTTGAAATATATATACTAGGTTTATGGCAAGCTGTTTGAGACCACAAATAAAATTTTATAAATCTTTCATATAAGCGACTTTACGCATGCGCAGTTTAGGTTGGGGCTGAAATAGATGCTAACAATATTTGTCATAAAAGGTTCTGCAAATTTTTCTGCGAAATGCTGAATGCTGAAGAAAAAATTTGCCCAGATATATGATATATCTGAGGCTTCTGAACTTCTGAAGAATACCGAAACCGAAGTCAAATGCCGACCCCCAGACGGAAAAATATGTTGGTTGAAATATTGCAGACTGGACTCTGGCTGTCTCAATATACATGCTCTGTGTGGAGAATCCTTTACAGTTACTTTCTATTTAATTCCTACCAACAAAACTATTCTGCGTTTTTGGATTAGTAAAAGCACATCGCTCAAGTGCTTAAGGGGGTATATCCACTGGAGAATTTAAAAATATCGAAATATCGCATTTATATCGAAAGTCCATATATTTGAAAATATTTTTCGAAATTTTGAGTCGGCAAATAGTTTTGAAGATGTGAGCGTATTTGTCAAAATTTTTAAACTTAGTGTGATCGGCTTTCGAAACTTTAAAACGGTGAGAAAATTTTGTCTGAAACGACCGGTACTTGACTTGATATTTTCACACGACCTTCTTAGCTATATTTGTCAGGTTATAATATGATTCAAAGAATTAGTTTATGCTAATAATTTCGATATTTTAAGCCATTCTTAAGGGTAAATTTTTTCACAAAAAACGAGTTTTTTGGGAAAGTCGCTATTTTGTCAAAATAAATTGTTTTTGACTAGTCCATTGTTATTATTTGTATGCATCTATTGCAATAATAATGTTTTATGATTTGTTTTGATAGTAATAAGCAAAAAAGTCTTTCTCACTGCGAAACACATTTTTTCGGAGGTCAGTAAGAAAGGAATCCAAAATTTTTTGAAATGCATACGCCCATTATTAAAGTACATTAAATGCTATAAGCATACTTTTATTTTTATTTATTTAATAATCAAATATACTGCCTCTTCAAAAAAAAAAAAAATCACAAAAGAACGCGTTTTTTCTGACTTGCAAGTGGATATAACCCCTAGTTAAAGTATTTAGAATATTAGCAGGCCGCATAAAAATCTCAAACTCTCTTTAAAAGAACTGGCGAACACTTTAATTATTCTTAAAATGTTGTCAAACTCTGACTCATCACTATATGCCATATATTTGATGTTTCATTGGATACACCTTTTTATTTGTGGCCTCAAAAGAATTTAAGGTTATGTTTGTATGCACGCTTATATAAATTTAAAGTTTTATTTTCTTTGACGTTTATGCTGTGTTTTAAGCGATTACGGTACATTGCATTTTATTTTGGCACCAAATTGTTCATTTATCTACTCTCTTTAAACATCAATAACTCTCTGCCTCGTTTCATACATACATATATGTATGTATATGTACTTTATTCTTCGATTTTCATACCTGCATATTTGCAGATGTTATTTCATCATAAATGTTTTTAATTGTTTATAGATTTTATATGTGGGCTACTGTTTCTCCAGTGGGATTGGTTATGGCCTTTTTGATTATTTTAGTTTCTTGACGTGGAACTTATGGAAGGATAAGGTTTTCTATTTCTTATGAATTTTATGTACATGCATGAGGCTAACATATGATTGTGTGCGTCCAAGCAATGAATTACATTTTGTTTCCATTCGAAATAATATTGATTACTATTTAATTACAAAAAAAAAAAAAATATGCTTTGAGTCGATGAATATTATGCATTAACAACAAAATATAATTTATTTTTATATGTATATAAATTTTTATTTTACATTATCATTGCTTACATCTTAACGAAATTTCGAGTGTGAGTTTTGTGCTGCATTGTTTTCAGTTATTTTAAGCGCTTTTAAATGCCATAAATTATTTATTTGCTTTATTATAATCGGATTTGCACTCAGCTGTTCATTGCACAGTTAATTTCAGATTATTTCTATATTATTTATTACCCTTGTATAATTTTTCAAGTTATGTTTGTGTGCATTTTTGCATTCTATGTGTGTCTCATTAGCCCTTTCATGTTAGTTTATAATTTTATATTGTCGCGCACCTTTTCTTTTCGTTGGGAAATGCAGTTACCAATGAAAACACACATACGAACGTTCATAAAAAAGTTATGTATAGCTAGAATTATGATATTTTGTAAAAAAAAATGTAATTTGAATTGAAGCAAAAAAAGTAATGATTTATAAATTTTTTTTTAATGTGCGTTAATTATGCACATGCATATTTGTATTATGAAAATTGTAGAACTTAATATAAAAAGATATTAAAAAAATGTTGCAAAATGTTTTTTTTCAACTAAAATAATTAGTTATATTAAAATTTTTTTTAAACCTTTTAACCAAAAATAATTTAAAATAATATATTATAAAATGTTTTTTTAGCCTTCTAAACCAAAATGAAGTTGAATAACATTTTGTTAGTTGTTTTAAATTTTTTTATGTCTTGACTTGTAAAATATAACTTTAAAATAACGGTGTTAGGGGGTTATATCCACTTACAAGTCAGAAAAATGCTAAAATATTTGTGAATTCTTTTTGAAGCGAGATTAAATTTAATAAATATATAAATAAAAATTTTGAAATGTACATAATTTAATGTATTGTATTTCAATAGTCGTTAATTCGTTTCGAAAAAATTTGAATTTCTTGATTCCGTAGCTGATCCGCCGATGGATCTCTGAAAAAAGGTGTCTGGCGGCGAGAAAGATTTTTCTGCTTTACATTATCTCAAATTCAAAAGAAATTATTATTACTATAGTTGAATACAGTTAATAATTGAAGGGCTAGTCAAAATTTTGATTATTGGAAAACTACCTGTCAAAAAAAAAAGTTTTTGTGAAGAAATTTACACTTCAGCGTGGCTTAAAAATTATAGTCAAAAATCTTAGCCCTTCGATCACTTCCTCATAAATATATAATATATCATGCGAAAATTTCATGGCGAACGGTCTAACCGTTTCGGAAAAGTTTTCCTCACTGACCCAGCAAACAGTGTTTCTGGTTTTGGGGGCCGATTACACTAAAAATCTGCTATATATACGCCTATATTTTCGAAACTATTTGCCAGATCAACTTAAAAATTTCGAAGAATATAATATAAAAAAATAAAATTTGATTTTTTGAATCTCACAGGTGGATATATTATATACATGTCAGGTTACGAGGGTTCCTGATGTATTATTAAAAAATTTGTTTCGTTAAAAAAAAGTAATGATAGCAAAATAATATTTATAATATAATAAAACTTATTAAAGATAATTTCAACATAAAAAATAATAAAATTTTAAAGATTTAAAAATAACAAAAAACTTATAAACGGTTCGTTCAAATCAAAAATATTGTAATTTAAATATAAAAAACTTTACCTTGTAATTTTATGTTTGTACGCAAATAAGAAAGAAATAAATTATAAATTATGTTTGTCCATATTTTATTTCGGTTTGTTTACAATAAAAAAAAACACAAACAGTTAAAAAATTTAAGTTTGATAAATTGAAATTAAAATCAACATAAAATATAAATCTATTGTAACTTGTTCTTGGCTCTTTTTGAAGATATCAAGTTTTGCTTACTTCATTTTTTACAAATACATTTACAAAACTTTTAAATATACATACAATACATTTAAAAAAAAAAGTTTTATATAAAATACATATTGCCTAACTTTCATACAATAAGAAGATTTACATATACCATTACAAGCATTTAAATATACATATTTATAAATTTGCCACATTAGTTCATAGCTCATCATTGCGCTTGTACAAACAATTTTAGGCATGTGATAACAAAAAAAATATTTTAAAATTAATAAAATGTAATTATCAGTTTACATTAGTACTTACAACAAAAAAAAAAAAACAAAGTAAAGTAGAAAACAATGAATTGCGAACAAATTGGTTTTATACAGTGATTTTGGTTTTAAAAAATATTTAAAAGTGCTTAAAAAAAAAAACAAAAAAATTAAAAATTCATTTGTTGTTGCCAATGATTCGTTTGCTATTGCTTTATTCACTTAGACAAATGCAATGTTTTTGTTAGTTTTAATTGCATATTTAATTATGCATAATATTATATATGTATAAGTATAGCAATATTTTTTAGTATTTATTATATTATACATTTGATGTAAAAAACTTTACACATTGCTTTATTTCGCACATTCACTAATTAATTATTTAATTAAGTTGTTGCTGTTTTGTTTAAGTATAAATATTTTTTAAATATTTGTTCCTTTGTTGGCGAGATTCTTCTTTACGTTTACTGCTTCAACGCTTCATTATTGTTTTGTTGTTTTTGTAATTCTTAGCAGTACGAGTACTTTAACTGTTGTCCATTTATTCTATATATATATTTATATATGTGTATGTTTATCTCTTATGTAAATTAGTATTCTTCTAATTTATTTCGCAATATTGATATCCATTCACTTTGAGTTGCTCTTCCACATTCGAGTCTCTAACGGCGCATAACCGTTATTTTGCTAAAATAAAAGTTATGCTCAATATTGCATATTCTCTTATTGATCAATTTAGGTCGTAAAGCGTCATATTTTCATTTGTTCAGCTCTAAATATAGTTTAAAGTATTTAATTTGACTTTAGTTAGTATTTTTTACATTCCCGATTCCGCGATGCCTTCATCATCTGTAAGGGAGAAGTGTAAAGAATTCAAAATATTATGAGTATGCAAAAGAATTTGTTAAAATTGTGTATTTTGGTTATTAAAAATAATCATGCGGGCATTTTTTTTTTTTTTAAATAAAAGTTAGTTGGGAATAAAAAAATTTATTATTTTTGTTTAAATTTCGCCAATGAGGGGTATGCACAATGAAACTATATCTACATATATACAATAATTTTTTAAATTAACAACAACAGAGTTATAATCTCATATATGTATATAATAATACCGTTTTAAAATACTTTACATTAGGCTACACATATTTTATTATTATTTTATTAAAGAAAGCAGTAATTTTTGAAACTAAATTGAGCCTAAACTAACTAACCTGCTAAAAACCATATATTGTGTGTATGTATCTCTTTTAAATCAAACAACCGTTAGGTGAACAAAAATAATGTACCTCGTGAAAAAGGGGCCATTTATACGGCACAACCGGCTTCTTTTTACAGCTGCTACTAAGAAATAACATACGAAATAAAAGAGCAGCTTTGAATCGTTTAGTGCGGTCTTTTTTGCATTTACCATAGTAATATATTTTTATACCATCAGAAAGTAGAGATTTCGACGAAGAAAAAGCTCAACATCATTACAAAAAAAAAACAAAAAAAAAAAATAATTTCGATTGAAAATAATGGTGTTTATCCGATATTAAGTGGAAAGGTGAAATATATATATTTTAACACAAAAATATTACGTTGTATTTGGCACACAAAAAGGTTAGTTTAGCCCTAATTTCATGAAAGCAACAAATTTTTTTATAAAAGATAAAAAAAAAACTAAAAGCTTTGTTATTTCAAATTTTCACATGAATTTAGAGGTTATGTAAAAAAAAGTGTTAACACAAAAGTGGTAGATCTTTTTATTAACGACAAATTTGTCATTTAACTTTTTTCGTTAAAACTTCAAATTTTTTCGGAAATTGAGATAAACTGCTTTTTATCCTTAAAAACTCAAGCACCCTCCTACCTTTCACTTCCCGATCACAAATAATTTTTCTAATCATTTATTTTGGTTATTTTTCTTCCTTTCGAGTTTCAACCTAATATTATTATTGGTTTCAAACTTGGTTTAATTATTCGACAGCACAAAAAGATTGTTTTTTTTTATAAATTATATAAACTTATGATTTTTCTAATAATATGCAAGCTGATGTTCTATAATTGTGCAATAGGCATATAAAAAATAAATCAAATGAAAAAGCTAAATATCAAAAAGTCTGTTACAAATCTACATATGTATACAACAACAAACAAACTTTAGTAAACAAACACAAAAACAATTAATTTAATAAAATATTCTACAAACCCAAAAACGGATTGGCATATATGATGCCACCGTTCTCACCAACACCACCACTACCAACACCATTCAATGTAGTTGTGCCCTTAACACCGGTTTTACAGAGTTTTGTATAGCTTTCGCCTTCACCAACCAGTGTCGCTATTTCGTCCTCGTCATTGCGCGTATTACAACTTGTGCCCAACAACTGATCATAGCAGCTAACATCTGTGCTGATCACATCCGCCTCGATGTCATCATCGTCCTTTTCCAAACTATTACGGTTGCTGCCCGCCAACGAGCTATGCATGGCATGTGAATCCTCATAGCTGCCGCCACCACTGTCGTCATTGGCATTATGTGCCACATCAATATGCGTGCCGTAGACATCGTCGAAGAGGCCATCGTCCTCCTCCACATCTTCATCTTCATCATCCTCGTCAACATCGAGCGAACGGCGACGGAAGACATCATCATCTAGATCACCATCATTACCCGAACCGGAGCCACCGCTACCGGAGCCGCCGGAAACTGAAGCTGAGCCGCCACCGCCAACACCACCACAACCACTACCACTGCCATTGGTCACAATCATTATATCCTCCTCGGCAAAGCTTAGGCGCGCATTACCGCCACCGCCGCTACCACTACCCGAGCTGCCATTGCCGATGACAACAGCGCTGCTATTGCTAATACTGCCGACTATACTGCCACGTGGTCCATTGCCAACAGCAGTAACGCCGCTGCCACCATTGTTGACGCTATTGCCATTGCTATTCACCAATATAATCTCATGGCTGAGACTATTCTTAATATCACAGGATGACGCGCTGAATGTGATTAGCTGTGACTTGCGTCTGTGTTGCAGCGTGTGGTGGCCGTTCATTGAGTTGTTGCCACCGTTTGTATTATGATGATTTCCCGCACCGCTTCCACCGAGCGTATTGGTGTTGTGTACCACATTGCCGCCAATGCTGATAACATCGATGGCACCCTCTTTACAGATCATCGAGCTGGGTTTATTATCCACCAAAACGATAACCACAGAGTTGTTATTATCGTTTTGGCTAATCGAATGTCATCTGTCCACTGCGGTGCTATCGGAGTACATATGAGCGCCACCATTGAAGGACGATGTCATCGAGGCACTGTGTGCCGCACCACCGAAACCGGTTAATGGCTGTTGATCATCATGTATGATGGCGGCGTTCTCATTATCGATTTCCTCCGCTTCTTCGGGCTGCAATTCATGTCCTTCAATAGTTGCAATCACCTCGCCGTTCTCATCAAGCTGTAGTTGTTGCTCTGTAGTGTCAGCGTTATGACCAATGAAGTGTGCAGTTAGATGAAAGCATTTTTGTGTGTTGATGTAGCACGGGTGTGTGAGTATGTAAGTTTTTAGGTAAATGTATGTAAATTCATGGTGGGAAGGGGTGATAAACATTTGGTTTGTGTTCCACGTTTCGCAGATGTGAAAGAGAAGAAATTTTCGTATTTTTTTGTTAGTTACAGCGAATAACCCAACACCTCCTTAGCTTCTTGGAACAAAAGTTTGACGTCAAAAATAAGTGGTTACATAATTTGTTAGTGAAAAATTGACGAAAAACGTGAAAGTGATCTTTTCGACAATAGAGTGTTACGAAGTCAAAATGTTTTAAGATTATTTCGTCAAAAATATATAAAATATACAATATATTAAATTTGAAAAAAAACAAGAAAAACGTTAACTGCGGCTTCATCGAAGCTATAATACCCTGCACAGGTGCCTATTTTTTAGCATAAAAGGGTATGAAAAGGTATTTATCTTGATAATGGATATGCTATAGTAGTCCGATCAGAACAATTTTTTCGGAGTTTGTATCGTTGCCTTGAACAATAATCTCAATCAAATTTCGCGAGCATATCTTTTTAGATAATAAAGGATTAGATTTTGATCGATCAGTTTGTATGGCAGCTATATGTTATAGTGGTCCGATATCGATGGTTCCGACAAATGAGCAGCTCTTTGGGTAGAAAATGACGTGTGCAAAATTTCAGATCGAGATCGTAAAAACTGAAAAAAAATTTCTTAACAGCAGAAGAATTTTCCACCACAAAGCTCTTCTGAAATAAGAGTAGAAACTTTCGAGTTTTTAAGTTTAAAATGTAAATGATTTTTATGTATGACTATTAATTGTATAATAACCAAATCAGTCCAAATTAGAAAGCTTCAATTAGTTGCAGTGCTTCAAAAGCAAAGATCATTTTAATACTTTTTAATTTATTTGAACTAAACACTTTTACATTTTTCGCCAAAAACAACACCAAAACCGAATAGAAATTTTAAATATTAACATCTTAAAGCTGGTTAGTTTAAATTACAGATAAAGCCAATTATTAAAATCGAAAAAATAACTCACCTTCGTAACCTTCATTATCGTGAATTTCTCTCGCAGGACCTACAATATTCTCTTTACCCTCAAGCACAGCCAGCAAACACTGATGAATGCAGATATACTGCTGTTCCGTTTGCACCATCCAAACGCGCTCTAAAAACCATAAAACATAAGACTTAGTATCAAGGTTTGAATAAAAAAAGTGAATCCAAGTTAAAATACCTTTACGCATGGCATAGACAATGCCGAAAATATCGACAAAATCCGAAGTCTTTATCTGCTGCAGAATGCGATCGAGCGTTATAAATGTGCCGGAGCGGCCCACACCAGCGCTGCAATGCACGACAATTGGACGTTGCTCGGAGCCGATACGTTCGCGGAAAGCGCGCACGAAGCGCACCAACGTCTGTGGCGGATTTGGTACACCGAAGTCCGGCCAAGTGGTGAAATGGAAGTGGCGCATAATGCGCTGTTCGCTGCCCTGTTTACGATAAAAACATATATGTAATGCAAAATGCGACTAAACAGTTTACAAAAATATACCCTGCACAGCATGAACTCCGTCATTACCCAGTCCGCATAGTGGCTATCATTTAAAATTTGCACTTTGATGTCGCCATAGAAGACGGGCACCGTATCATTTGGCCAATACTGATCACATTTCTCACGCCCCTTCTCGAAGCAGCGCGTTAACATCACAATGGCACGAGAATTACTCTCCCAACACATGCGCCAGAAATCATCGCGTGTCGAATGCAGCGGACCTTGTGTCACAATGAATTCACGCGGCGAGTTGTGACCCGGCACATAGTTGGCATTTATATAGTCCGAGCCCTCATCATCATCGACAGGCTGCAGTTTGAAGCGCGAATGATCGTAAGGTAAAATGTTGGTGAAACGATTTTTTGGACGATTACAAGGTAGATCAGCAAATGTGCACGACTGATCACGACCCACATGTTTTAGCTCTTCAAATTCCTCACTAAAACGGAAATCCGAATCGGCCGACATGAGACGATAGTGTTCGGCGAAATTCTTAATCAGAATCGGACGATTTTGCTCGATTACACTGTCGGGCAGCGACATGTTATCGTTGGCACGCGAGTCTTTTGTAGCCTTGCGGCAACTATTGCGACGACGCTTAAAAACGAATAAAGTGATGAGCAGTACGAAGATGATGGTTAGTGGCACGGTGATGGCGACAATCAACGAAGTGTTATCTTGATCTGTTTTGTGGGGAAAGTTAAGTTGTAGTAATTGTGTTTTAAATTGAGTTCAGTAAGAAATAAATATAAGAATTATTGAAGTGTTTATCACTCGTATACTTACCAGGCGAAATTAATAAATCTTTACAAGATTTTTTTATGTAAGACATAGTATAGATAAAGTGAATAGTTTTTAAGCAAAGTTTAATTTCAAATTGTAGAATAAATATGTTTTGTTATGCTTTAACTACATAGCATAAAATACCTCTTTAAATTTTGACCATTACTTATCACTCACCTGTTTGTATGGGGAAGCTGTAGGCTGTGTCTGTGAATTTGTCAGGCGCTGTGAAGGCTCTGACTTTCACTCGATATGTAGTGCCCGATTTTAACGGTCCATTACAGTAACCTATTTTACGATTGTCACAATTTTCTGTGCCGATAGTGAAGTCCTCTATCGAACGATTTTCGAAGGGATAATATGGATCGATTGCCTGATATGGCAGCCATACACTATACGATTGCACGTCATGCCAACTTGGCATCTCCAGACCTGAAGCATTTTTAGTTTCATCCTCGGCGACGATGATCGTATACCAGCGGACCTTAAAATAACAACAAAAAATGGTGTTAATGGTGCTGTACGCCTTATTATAGACTAAAGTATATACATCATTTAAGAAGCGGCGTTTATTCAAGCTACATATATTTGAAATTATATAAAAATTATAGTGTTTATTGTGGCTGCCTTAACTAATTAACTTACTTCGTAAACTCAAAAACGGTCCAATATCTATACTAATTTTACTTACCGCGCCATTTTGGTCGGAGAAATAGTTTTTACGAAAACGTATCTGTATTGTTTGTGAACTGCGATACACTTCGGTGGGCACTACTTGTGTGGGTGGGCGTGGCGGTGCCAAAATTGGCATGGTTTGCTTATACTCTCGTTCCGGTCCATAGCCAACCGATGTTTTCGCTTGTATTTTGAAAATATACGTTTCGCCCGGCCTAAGGTTGCGTATGGTGCCAGTGACATCGGAAGACTCGAATTGTTGTATACGCATCTCGGTGACATTGTTCACATTCATGTACGTGATGGAGAATTGACGTATGACACCGTTGGCCTCACTCGTCGGCAGCAACCACTCGAAAACGATTTCACTCGGTTGCACATCGATCGGATGGAAACGTTCAACACGTCCTGGTACTGCTTCGTTCGTGCTAAAGCTTGCTGATAGTGGTGAGCTGCTACGCAACACCGAAGATTCAGTGCCCGAACGCACGACAACTGTGAATGTATAGTTGCGATGTGGACGTAGATCGGCGATGGTGATTTCATTGCGTGGGGTAATATTTTGTGCGAGTATATTGTCAGCGGTCAAGTATTGTACATCGAAGTCATTATATTCGCCCTTCGGTATGTCCCATTTGAGCGAGATTTCAGTGTCTGTGATGTTAGTGGCGTGCAATTGAGTTATCGGTTCGGGGAATAGACGATCTTGACGTTGTATGGGTAAACTGGACACGCCGCCACTTACCGTCCAAACGGTGATATTGTATAGACGGCCCGGTATTAACCCGGTAAATGTGACCTTGCGATCGGTATCGTTGGCTAACTTTTCCTTGTCCTTTATCTCTGGATCACCGAGTGAGAAACGGTAGATGTCGAATTTCGAAGATGACTGTGGTGTTGGTGTGTATGAGAGCGTTATGGTGTCGCGTTCATCCTCTTGTCTGTCATTTACAACAACCACCTCCGACTGTATGAGCGGCATGGTGCGTGTGGAGAGGTGTGTGGTGCGTGAAAAGATGCCGTAGGAAGTGGTTTGTATATCGAATTTGTACTGTACACCAGGCATTAGGTCACCAATCAATACACGCACAGTGGATAACTCATCTGTTCCAAATATTAGAAAATTAAAATTGAAAATAATATAGCTTAAATCTTACACTTGCACTCACCTGATTTATTCTCAGATACTGTTTTAGTTTGAGCTTTGCTCGGATTTTCGGTAGGCCACCACTTTAGTATATACGATTCAACGCGTCCCTCGGGCTTTGGCCATTCTAATGTAATGTTGCGCGAATCCACCAAGGGTATGATATTGGATACCTCATTCGGCGGTACGGTATACACTACCTCTTGTGGATTGGGACTCTCCACACCGAAGCTTACAGTATTTACTTGTATGGTGTACTTTTCACCTTTAGTCATATCGGTAATGTCCGTCTCAGTGGCGCGCACACTGGGTAAGTTAGTCCATTGCTCTTTAGTCTCCGTGCGGTACCGCATCGAGTACTCAGTGAAATCACTATTCTCAGGTGGCGCCCAATGCACTAACACAGAGTTGCTGCGTACGGTTTCGATGGACATATTGCGTGGGGGATTGGGAACTATATGTTTTGCAGAAATTAATTGAATTTTATTCATAAATATTTTATCAAAAGTTAGGTTAAGTTTGTCATATACTTACACACTGCTTGGAAATAAGCATGCGGTTCACTTCGCAGACCATGACTAACGGCAAAGACCTTCACCTCATAACCGGCGCCAGCATGCAAATTGGTGATGACCAAACGTGAGTCCTTTGTGTCTATGGTACGCACCTCAGAGGTACCATTGCGCGAATACAGTACTTCATATTTTTCTTGTTTGGAGTTCACATCACTCTTCCAGCTTATATTTAGACCTGTGCGTATGCTCTTTAGATCCTCAATAATGGGTGAGGATGGACGTGTTACCACGAATATTGTTGTTTCGTTCGATTCCATTTTCTTTGAGACCGCCTGCACGGAAAGCGAATAATTGCGACCCGGTAGCAGGCTCTCCAGAATAGTGCTTGTGCGATCGGTGGTAAAGGTGCTCGTGTCACCGTTGAACGTCTCCAGTTCATGATAACTGTGTGGCAAGAAAAGTATAATTAGTGTTGAAAATATTTTTAAAATTCCAAATAGCTTACGCTATGCGGTATTCATCCTGTGTGCTCGCTGGATCCGGCTCCCATGTGATACGCATGGTATTTGTCTTGTCGTCATTAAACGAACGTAAATTATGCACTGGCAGCGGACGTAGCGTTACATCTCCAGCCGCTGGCCATGAGGTCACCTTACCCGAAACGGTTTTCACGATAACATTGAACGTCTTTCCCGGTTCGGTGATATCGCGAAAATCAAAGTAAGCAATCGGATCATTATTTCGTGAAACAGTGGATTGTCGACGTGAAGCGGCCAACGAAACTTGATATTTGTCGAACTCTGATATGCCTTTTGGCGCTTCCCACAACACACGAAACGAGTTCGATGTTATATAATCCTTATCGAATGTCACATTCAGCGGTCGTAACGGTACAGTGCGATATTGTGCGGTAGTCGGTGGCGAAATTTCATCTTCGGACATTGTTTGTACCGATATATTATAAGCACGTCCGGGCACAAGTCCTTTGAAAGCCGCTTGTGCGGGACCCGGTGGTTCGCCTTCCTTCTCCACATACAGCACACTCTCTAGCGCATCCGGTGGTTCAATGGACACTTTGTAATGGGTATAAATGCCGGCTGGATACGGTGGTTGCCACAGCACGAGCAGTGTGGTCTCATTACGAAACCAGACAATGAATTTGCCGGGTGTATTGGGCTCTGTGCGCGAATTTGTTTGTTGTTTAACGAATGTAGCGTATTACGAGTGTTGTTGGATGGAGTAGCCAATGAGGGAAATAAGAATATGAGTAGGTGAGAAATGATCGAAATTCATATGCAACGGATATATATGAAGGCATAAGTGGTTACAAATAAAGCAGTTACAATAACAAGCATAGCAGAGCGGCTTGCAGACACATTCCAACTATTTATGGTATGCACTTTAGTCTTGAGTATTTGTTGCATGCATGATAAGTGAAGACTATGTATATATGTGTTTATGTCAATATTTTATTAGTCATTATTAAAAATATACGTATATGCTTATATTAGTGATAAAATTTAAGTTATGAAATTTTAGCAAGCCAATTTTAAAAAATATAAAATGTTTATGAAAGTAATGCTTGGGATTAATTTTTATTTTGTCATGTTTGAAGAGGATATCCGGATTGTGATGGAAACGATTTTGATAATTTTTAGAAAGGTAATATTTGAGAGAATCGAACAATTTTTTTACTTGCAGAAACTTGTGAAGCTTTAATCCACCAGATGGTGCTGGAGACGAATTGCTAATAAAAATCGTATTTTTGGTACTTTTCATTCATATTAGAAATACAAGTATGTGCTAATAATTGGCAAAACAAAGCAAGTACCAGGATTATTATTAACATATTATTTTTGGTCCTATATTGTTCATATCATAACGTCCAGAGCAGTGAACCACAAAATTATCCATTTAGTGTTATTGTCGAAGAGCGAAGACAACATTTAGAAACAACTGCAGAAATTAGAAAATAATTTCAATTCGTTTTATTATGACTCCCGCTGAAGCCATACAGTCGAATGCGACTCACGCGTCCCGACAGAAATTGAAAACCAGATTCGATCTTAGTTACAATATATGTATTATACCATTTAAAAAGCGCTATCAGACCGAATCGATTAAGATTATTTTTTGGTTCGTACAACCTTACTACCTCCATAGGTGAATTTGAGTGTGTTTGGCGGCGAAAAGTTTGAATGGTGAATTTTACCATGAAAAAAAAAAAATAAATAACGAGTTTGTTTGAAACGTGGTAGCAAAATGTGGATTTATTAATATGTCGTTAAAACTGTTCAACAATCTAGCGAATGACACTCCAAGAATGAGCCGAAATTCAAAAAAAAAATCGCTGAAGGTAGGCCATTTCACCCAAGTGAGTGGAAATTTTATTAAACATTGGCATGCTTGTATTGGCTCAAAGGGGGACTAAAGGGGATAATACGTCAACGTGTAGTTTTCAGTCCGGGTCAAATTTGATCAGATGCTATAGTCAAAGGTCAAAATAATTTCAACAAAACGACAGTGCTAGTAGAAATCGCTTATATACATAAATGTTAGGTATTTTACCAGCTAAGGGGTAATGTTTTTGAGATACTCAGGGTTGCTTCTTTTGAACGAATCTTTCTTTTAATTTGAATTTTGACGCAATCAGTTCCGAAATTACAGCTCATCAGCAACAAGCATCATCGCAATCCATGAAAAATTGATATTTTACTGAAAAGCTTACAAACAGGCAGTGGTTCCCAAACGATTATTTTTATGTTTCTATTTTTCGTTGGAAGAAATCACTGATCTAATTTTTATAAAAAGAAAGCTTAACATTACAGCATAATATACTTGTACGGCGATCTTCAAGTAAAAAGTGCAGTTTTACAGTATTTTGCAACTTATAGTTATATTTCAACTTTAGTTAAACATATATACATATACGAGTATAGAGTGTAGCATAACAGTGCATAAGTCCCAAGTTCAAACTACAGAATTTTTATTGAAAGCATTTAGAACCATATAGTATAATTAATAAGACATTCATTTCAGTACATATTTATATATATGTACATACTTATAGATCGATAAATTAATGCATATTTGGTAAGTTTGTTGTTACCTCGCAGAATTTTTATATCCAGCAACTCTTTATGTCGCGTCCTTCTACCTTTTAGCAGCATAGTGAATAGATATTAGCAGAGATTATAGATTTTATAGAGGTTAACACATTAATTAATTATGATGTATATATTATGTATGTCTTAAAGATGTATTGTTGGTATTTAGTCACAATTGTGTTTTATTCAATTAAATATTAATAAAAGGATAGGGATGACAGTTTTAGTAAGAACCATTAACGAAAACCCTGAAACCAACACCAAAACATTTTTCCATCTTTTAACTATGCTAAAGTTTTAATTGCAAGAGCGCAACAAAGCGTTTTTTTTATTAAACTTCAACTTTTTATTAATTTCTACAATTAAACAACTCGCCCTTTCCCTCGCCTCAAATTCCATTTAGTAGTAGCATTTATTAGGTCTCAGTTCATCTTTGTTTCGTGACTTACTTGTTGTGAAATTGCGGCTGGTATACGCCACTGATTCCTTGTTGTCGTACACGGTGTAGGCCTGCACCTGATATGTGGCGCCCGGCGTCAACTCTTTGACGCTGTGCTGGAATGTGTTATTTACGACGAATGTGCGATTGTATGAGCTGGAAGCACCGGAGAGGCCGAGCACTTTGATGCGGAAGGATGTGTAGTTGCCTTGGGTGGGCGGTGACCACGAGATGATGGCATTCTTGCCGCTGCGCACTTGCACGGAGAGATTCGAGGGCGGATCGGGCGCTGTAAGAAAGTGAAGAAAATACGTTAAATGTTTATTTAAACTAATGACATATTTTGACAGGGCAATAATATATATTTTTATCTTGTATTCCTTATTTGTGAAAATGTCGTCGGAATCAAATTCATAACTGGTTGAAAGTATATCTCATTAGAGCAAAAGAGGTTGGAGTACTTTTCTTGTATAGAGTCCACCGCAGTAAATTTTATGTTGAACCACAAATACCCTAATAATATTTGATCTTAAATTCATCATCATACTTTCCACCATTTCCAGTGGTCAATAAAATATGACAGTCTTACAAACGAATGTGATACTAAGGTGCTAAAGTTGAGCCAACACACCCTCCAGCCAAATACCTAGTGCTCTACATTTGCATAGTTCAACCCAGCCACAAATACCTTCTTTCTTACATGCATACATATGCACATATTGGAGTTTGCATTTGCTAGTGAAAATATTACTTGTAGTAATGAACAAGCCACCCTCGAGTTATGAAAGTTTTCCCAATTGTAATTTATTAATTGAAATGTTTTAAGGGCATTTAGTGACTGTTTGACACATAAAAGGGAAATAGTTTACTTATCTCATGGCAAACGAATGGCTTCCGATAGGTATCGAGTAAAAAAAAAAAGTCAAAATTCATCAAGCAAAATGGGCAAAAACAAATATTGGAGGTCAAAATTAGTCGGAAAACCAGTTCAAAAACCTGCATTTTATGACGGAGGCTGAACTGGAGGATTTATGAGAGAACTAGCTTTACATATTTACCTACGGCAGCATGGAGAACTTTTGCAATCATAAAACAGTAATTAATCTGTAAATATATATAAATATTTGCTCTAATTTCAAACTTGATTAATTACAACTTCGATAGTATCACCGACTTCTGGCTTCACAGGCCAAAAAAAAGAAGAAAAAATATAATATATAAAATTTTCAAGAGGGGGAGTGCGCTAAGGCTATTACATACTTGTATATATACATACATATTTTGTAGTATATATTTTATACTCGTATGCGTATGTGGCAGTAAGTATATACAAATAAATTACGCCCGTGGGTAATTTACTCAACGAAGTCGTTGCGACGGTCAATGGGGAATTAATAGGTATGTATGTATTTGGTATGCCCATTTCTTCAAAACTAAAATAAAGTGATTGTAATATGTGTACAGAAATACAACTCAACTAAAAAGAATTAAGTATGTGTTAGTGTGTGTTTAACAGGGAAGTTTCGAGCGCTGAATGGTCAGTTCTTGGTGGTGGCGTACATTTTTATAGGGGTGTGGTGCTCTAACGTTGCCCTTAGGTGTTAGAATCGTAGATAAACATCACGCTAAAATAACATAAATTCAGAGTTGTTGAAAAGTATGTATGTCTATATGTAATTGATCAGGGGATGTAATAAAAACTTGAAGAAGTATTTAAATCACTTCAATTAGAGCAAAAATAACAACAGAACAAATTTTAAGATATTTTTTATTTTACATAATATTAATTCCGTTTTAACTATATTACGAAAATAACAAATTTACAACAGTTCGGCAAAACAGTGGACCTTGACTATTAAAGTGCTGATGTATGTATGTACATATGTATATATGCACAGATGTCTGAGCGTATAAATTTGCTGAGTCCAGCCGGACGCAATGTGAAATTAGCATTTGACGTTGCGTTGGCTAAGTGGCTCTACTCTACTACGAAAATTATCAAGTTAAGCAGAAACTTTTCGCTAACATAACTCATACGACAGGTGCAACCTAATACAGTAGGGGCTAACCAAATACTCACTAAAAACAAATTAGTGCAAAATTAAACATTTTTGGAATAAGAAAACAATTTACTTTGAGTTATGTTGAAAATAATTAGTACTACGTGATGTTTTAGGGCAAAAAATCATAATAAATTTGAGATAAAACTTGAATAAGAACCTAAGGAACCCTTGATGAAGAACATATCCAAATATAAATGTCAATTATAGAAAATATTGCGCCACATTGTGGCTGCTAAAGCAAGCACGTTAACTTTGAAATTTTACATTTGAAACGAAATTAATTTTTGCTAAATTGACTAGGATATTTAAGAAATATACTTAGAGTGAAATAAAAAAAATTATCGATATATTTTTCATATTTCAATCGGCTTTATCTTTAAAAAAATAGACGAAAGTTTTCTTATTTTCTAATAGTTTTTGAGTTACAGCCTTCTAAAGGCGGCTAGCTCAGTCTAATCAGCTTTATTAGTTTGTTGTGTAGTTGTTGTAGCGTTATTCTCGAAACAGCATTTTTCGAATATGCTTGAGTTATAACTTGGGAACAAATGATCTGATGACTATCAAATTTTTCGTGGATGTTCTCCATACAATGTCCAACCGATTTATGGCGTATCAAAAACGACCAAAATTTTTGGAAAAATTCGCGTTTTTGTAAACTCCGCTATTTTGGCAATTTTTTTTCGACCGTAGGTCATTATAGGAACAATGTCTTTTAGTTGAGAATTATTTTTTAGTTTAATCCATGGAGAAGGCCGAAATCATTGCTGCAGTTTTTTGTTTGGCGTCGTCGAAGATCGCGTTTAGCTCGAAAAATATTTAATTTTTTTCTTCAAAGCTTTTACTGTGTATTCTCAAAATATGTAGTATAAATATACCTTTAAAATTTTTTAAGAATTGATACGTTATTTTTTTTTTAATTCACAAAAAACGAATTTTTTAGGCTGTCACATTGGGTCTAATTCTACAAAACAAAAATTAAATATCCTTAAGAACGAAGTGTTTATAATTTCTGAGCGCCCACTGTACATACATATGTACATACATGTGTGCGTTGGTTTTCTGGTTTCTTTGCAGCAAGCAGACACTTGCAAAATTCATGACTTTAGCAAAAGTATTTGCCCAAAAGTCGCCTAAAATGCGTGCTTTGCAAATTTACAAGTTACCGCTTACCAAAAATAAAACTAGTCTACGGATTTACAAAGTTTTGGCGGAAGCAATGCCGAGAAAGTTTTGTCCACACAAATCTACGCTATGGTCATTGCACTCAATTAACACTTTGGTTGGCGAAAATAAAGGAGAAATTAGTAGTAATAAAATTTTGAGTTACTAAACGTATATCATGCTGGGCCATAATACTTAAAGTTCGGAAAACTATTATAACAACTTTTTAGTTTTAGATAAATTCTCACTTTTGCTGGAATTCTTAAATTTCACTTAGCACTTTTGTAGAAAATTCGAAGGCGTTTATCAAACAGAGCAGCTTAAGATGTAGCAGCTTAAGAGCTAGCAAGCTCTACTTTAGGCAAATATGAAGAGCATAAGTGAATCTTTTTAAGTCCAGAAAAAGTTGAAGATGATAAAATGTAGTAAATATTTTTACACACAAACAACACAAGAGGTGCTGGCAAGTCGAGATACGTATGCTCGTATAGCGGCAGTTTAATTTCTTCTTCACATACTCAGCTACTCAATTTTCTATATACATGTAATTTGTCTAACATTTCGTAATGCTTGCGCGTTTTTTACTTAATTTCAACAATTACATAATCCTACAACAACGCCATGATGTAAGCAGCCAAGTGCAAAAAGCAGAGCTACGCCGCCACAAGAGAACGTAATTGTAATTTTAGTACTTTGTTAAATTACAGAAACGCAGTTAAAAGGCAATTTTCATAATTCTACTCACAGAGACAGGCATTTAGAAGCGTAATGAGCGCTTTAAACAGCGCAAAAACACACTTTATGGGCCCACTAGTGTAGCCACATAGGCAATGACTTACTACATAGGGAAGTTAAAAAGCGTTAAATTTGTACCAAAGCGCTACACTTTCGAAACTTCTGAAGAGCGAAGACTCACTTCCCGATTTAATGTGTTCAACTTAATGCAGCAGACAGTTAAGTGGTGTATGTGTGTGTGTGCGTGTGTGCGAAGAGCACGCTGTGGGTGTTTCCGCTATTATGATCATTAGGTTGAAAATAAATACGGGTAAGTGCTTTGATATGTCTGTGACACCTGTCAGCTTGACAGTAAAGTGGTGTTTGTACTCTTAAAGGCTTTGTGGAAGTTGGAAAGTGGTCAATATTGAATATACCAAATTATAAAAATACTTTTACATTTTTCTTTCGCTTTAATTATTGCGTTTTTTTAAAGTTATTTATTCAAAATACGGTGTTACTAAACATTTTTAAGTTATTCTAAACTCAATCGGTACTATCTATCGAAAAGAGAGAAAAGAAAGTTAATAATGAAGCCAAAATTATTTACCATAGTCTCGCTTTGCTGCTTCAAAATGCATAAATAAGTTCCACACGATAAAGCCTTTCGTGTTGCGATATTTATCTCTTCCCCGAAAGCAATTAAAAATGTCATGGGCCAAAGTGCTCTATGCATACTTTAGGGTTATCCTCATATATGTAAACATAAAGATTTTATTTTTCAGCTTATTAAGGAGTAATTCCGCAAATTTTATATCTATTCATTATCAATAGAGGTTTTAAACTTGTCTGATGCTTCAACGTCGTTTTTTAGAACAATTAATGACATTTTAGCACAAATTCATAAACAATGAATTATACAGATACTTTTTTTAACCATTTGTTCTACTATAGCTTTGAGCGGCCAGCTGAATTAATTTCATTTCAATTTGCTATATATAAAATATTGATTAAATTAGCTATATAAAAAAAAGTTGTTCTGAAGTAATTACGAACTACCCTATATAATGTAAGCTCGCTCACCTGTGGTAATTGTCACCGTCCACGATAGCACATCTGGATGCGTGTAATTTGTGTAGTACAACCAGAAATTGTATTTGGTGCCGGGCAGAGCGTGCGAGAATTGAATCTCCTCGCCAATCTCACGCGACGGTATTGTTGTGTTTGGCGCTGGATCACCGAATGGCGGACTGTAGTCGATGCGATAAAAGACATTGTCCAGTCCTTGATTATTAGGTATGCTTATGGCTAAGTCGGCACAAATTACACTCTGTAAATGAAGGAAAGTTAGAAAATTAGTATGGTTTCATATAGTATCACAATGTTTTAAAGATGCATTGAAAACGACAGAACAAAAATCGAAGTTTAGTACGAGTATAACGATATTATGTAATTTATTATTCACATAGCAATTTTCAGTGAGACAATTAAATTATTAATTGCTTGGTAATTGTCTATAAAAAGCTTTCTCAACTAACAACTATTCCTATTAATTTCATGCGCCAGTTTACATAAATCTGATCTACTTTTGCTATATATAATTTGTAAGCAAAATGCAAGGAATAAGTGTTTAAAAACGTTTCTTAATTTAGTCAATTAACAAATTGTTTAAAATTAGGTTAATACGTGCAGCGACACGTTGTTAATTGACTCAATTAATGATTTCCTGAAACACTTAAAAAGCGGCTTTGTATCATTAATTCGACTATAAATTCGGTAATTAAGCATATGATCGGTAAATTGCGCTCAATTAAATAAAGGCTTTCCTAGCACTCTCTTAATCTAGTCATTTAGCACTTCTATTACATAAAGAAGATAGTTTTGACTTAACGAAGCAGTCATTTAATTTAAAATGCAATTTAAATTTACTTTAAGTCAAGTCAGTTTATATAAACCTTTGATATATGTCGAGTTATATTAAGGTGATTTGGCGTACAAGCAGCGCCGAAAGCATATTACAAGATCCAAATCTAAGACTCCCTAATAATACTCCAAAATGCAGTTTCAGTGAATTCCTTGTAATCGAGTCACATTTTAAACTAACTTTCTATTAAAAAAAATAAATAAATGGAAAAAGAAAATTTTTCACCGAATTCATTTGCATTCTGAAGAGGCGAAATGCTACGGAAGCGTATAAAAGAGATAGCTAAAAGCAGCAACAACTTTTTCAATATTTTAGAACTTCTCCGTTTTTGGCATGAAATGAAGTCAAGATAAGAGTGTGACTGCTAGCAGAGCTACTGCGGACATTAAAATTCGCAAACAATGCCAGCAAAGCGAGGAAACTGATAAAAATAATGGGTTTCAGTTTTATTTAAAAATGAAAAACTAAAAAATAGCTAATTTGTCTCACAAAGAGGCTTCGCAAAATTATGCTGAGCAGAAAATTGCTTATTGCAGTTGGGTGAGGCGTAACTGTTGTGCGGGGAAGAGTATCTCGTTTTCACTTTACTTACACGAAACACATTTGTTTCGTCGCAAAATTGCATATTTGTTGCACAGTTGCATGCTTTTAATGGGTAGCGCTTAGTCGGCCGATGGCAGACAGTTTTACATTCAACACGCGTATTAACCGGGGTATATATACATGTATAGTTTTAAGCTTGAATGTTTTATCTATATAGCACAAAAACAAAAAAAAAAAATTAAAAGGGTCAAGCAGCGCATGATATGAAGTTAATGAAAAGTAAGTGAATATTATTGAATTATTTATTGGCAACCAAAGTAATACATATCAATGTCTATATACATGTGTTATTGCGACCATAAAACTATTTTCACTTATCATTTTCGTTCGAAAGGGATTTTGAATTCATACAATTGCATACAAACATTTTTGGCACTATTAGATAGAGATTTATTCTCTTTGCAAGCAATCTACAGTAGACTGAGAGACATATTAGTGCTTGCACTAAGGGAGAACTAAGAATGGTGTTTTGTTTTTGAGCATGTCAGAAAAATGATAGTATATAGTTTATTTTTTCTAATAAAAACGTATGACAATACAATAATAATAATAATAACATTGTACTACACTCGGCTGGGTATTGGACCAAACAAACTATTTTCGAGAGATTGCGTCTTAAGTATAAAAAATATTGTCTTCATTTTTCGAAGTTAGCTTCCGAAATGAAAATACCGATGTTTGAAATTAGGGTTATTTAAAACACTACTAACATTAATTAAAGTATTTACACAAAAATTAAAAATATGGTCAACACTGCTTTTTCCACTTGTTTCAATTGTGTATAACGCTTCTCGGTCAAACTTATATGACAGTTACTATATGGGATCAAAGTCCGATCTTCGAAAAAAAAAAATTTTTTATAGTTCAGAAATACCAGTCCAAATTTGAAATCTTATAGCCTCAATCCTTCGAAAAAATTTATTTAGTGCAATACCCATAAAAAAAGTCGTTTTTGCCATATGGTGTAATAATTTCCTTTATAAATTTTTTATAATAATTCCATAATCGTTTTTACTGCACAACAATTAACTATTTTTCTTTGTAAAATAATATATAATACAAGTAAAAATTTAATGAAATGTTTTTGCATCAAAAGTTGTTTATAGTTTGTAACGACCTGCCCTAATACTCTGTATGCTAAGAATGTGAGAAAACGATGATGACAGGCTTAAAACTCCATTTGTAAGTGCATCACTCGTAGTTATTCATTTTGGCAGAGCTCTTTTTGCCAGAAACAGGAAATATAAATCTATATTGAGTGGTGGATAAATGCAAAATTATATCAATATACATTTATCAGTATAAATAAAACACTATGTAACAAATAATTGAGAAAAATGTATAATTGCTATTTAAACTTTAAAAAACAAAATTTTTGGTTTTTTAATAAATTTATATGTAACATAAAAATATTTATTTTGAAAAGAAAGACAAATTTTATATTCTATGCTTTTTGTGTGTTTTTTAAAAATATCAGTTCTACGCCTAATTGTAGACAATGCTTAGTGGTATTGCTTACAATGGAAATACTTTTTGTGTGTTTTCTAAAAATATCAGTTCTACGCCTAATTGTAGGCAATGCTTAGTGGTATTGCTTAAAATGGAAATGTTGCCTACCTTTAGGTAGCTGTGAATTTCAAAACATGCATACCAATTACAACTCACTGCGTTCAATTTTATATCTTTGAAAGGAAAAAATGTTAACTCGTTTCCACGCCATACCGTTAACTGCAATTCCAAAGAAGGCGTTTTCCGAGTTTTTGGTTTGTTCGGGTGGTGCCAGCGGTGGTACATGCAGGAAGTGGTTTTGCTAAATACTGATTTCTGACTTTGATAACATCACACACATCAAACAGACATGTATAAACATGCATTTGCATATCCAAAAAAAAACAGCCCGTATGTTTGTACAAACTCGGGCTGACGCCTACGAAACAAACTGTTGTCGGGTGAACGGTTAAATGGCATATCAAAGGGCACGAGAGCAAACAAGTCTGAAATGTTGAAATGTAACGGAAGCTAACAGGACTTTTTGAGTTGCACAAATGCACATTCTTGTCGACGAAAAATACAAAAAGGAAATATTTGACGAAAATGGTAAACTACGAACGACGTGTAGGTGTTGGCATTGAAAGTAATCAAAGGATTGGTGCTGGTGGCAGTTGACTAGAAAAGTGAATTCGTTAGTTTATTGGCTAAAAGAGCCATTGAGAAAACCGTAAAAGCACTCAACACATACTGGCGAGGGCAAATAAACTCTACTTGTTGACAGGATTGATGATGTTACGGGAGAGTTTTTTTGCGGGTAGCAGCAAAACAAATTTGTAGAGAAGTTTTAGATCAAGTATTTGCGTATTTTGAAAATTTTTTAATTTTGCATCGAATTTAAGCAAAAAGAGAGTAACTACTTTTTGGGATTGCCATATAGTATAAAACCGGTTTATAAAGAAAAACTTTAGAGTTCAAGTGCGATGGGAACATGAACACCTTGTTATCTGTAGTGGGTTTGAATTTGCAACAAACAATTTAAAAGGGAGCCAGAGAAGTATAGTATGTTTTCAATGCCGAGCAGTACGCAAATTTCTTTTCGCTACTGATAATGGAGACAAAACGTGTACAATCAAATTTTTAACCAATTGAATTAACTTATATTGATTTATATATATTATATATATCAACAACAACAACAAAAACCTAACCATATATATTTATATATATATAAATGTATGCATGTCAGTACGTATAAGGCTTACTTCACTTCATTGCTATCTGATACCCACGGATTATAATTGATTTAACAAAAACAAACACTCATATTTAAATGACTGACAAACATGCATACATATGTATGGTATATACATATATGTATCTTATTGTATACAAATAATTCGACCCATCTGCTCAACCACAAACTCGTCGAACTTTTTTCATTGCAGTCGGTGTTTTTGGCTCGCTGCCTTGTTACATGTACGAGTATATGTGTGAATGTGTGTGTCAGCCATGAATTCAATATGATGTAGAGCTTTATTGGTACACCGCAAAACCAGATTGTTTTTGGATTTACAAAAGTCAATGAAAAACGTGAAAATATTGCTAATCCCATAAGAGTATGGTTGTTAAATTGTAAAACTTACCATACACAATTAATTTGTTTGCACTTTTATTGAAAAAAAAAAAAATTTTTACTTTTTCTTGTAATTTATAGTCCATTTGCTGTAAGTAAATCCTCTAAATAAGAATTTGAAGAGACGTTTTTCCATTTAAATTGAGGTCCACAGATTTCATTAAAATAACGCAAAACGCGTTGGTGGAAATTCCACATTTGCACGATGCTTTACGAACTTGTGAAACTTTTGCACTTAAAAATTAATAAAAAAAAATACTCAGAAATTGCCAAACGACTTGTCGCTGTGAAGATTTCTATCATACTTATCAAATTCGGTTGCTTGGATGGCTTTAGACATGGACTCTCTAAAGTTCTTGAGAGTTTCGGCCACGAACCAGCTTCTAAAGTTTTTACTTCTGCGAGGGATGTCTGAGTAAGACGTAACTTTTCGAAGAGAGTATCCATCAGATTTTTTACGTATAGTAACTATTTCAGTGGTGAGATTCGAGGAGGATTTTATCCGCATGAAATTTCTATATTTTTTAGTTTCTGACTTTAATTCTGCTGTGATGTTTTTAAAGCAGAGGTAACTGTCATTAAAGTAGCAGTAGATGTACTATGCTAAAAATTTGTTACTAATATAATAATTGACGTGACTGTATATTTTTGTAAATTTTATGACAGCCAACATAATCCT